GTTCAGATTTGTCCTCTTTTTTTGTTTCATTTAAATAATGAGGTGGAGAGTAGGGAGTACAAAATTTCTGCCAATGACATTAACAGTGGATTTAAATGATTAATGGCATTTTTTTGGATGTCCTTAATTTACTGATGTGTTAATGAAAACAGTGGACCAGATGATGTTTTCTTTGAGTTCTTACATTCTATGAATGACTACATCCAGGGTTAACTTTTGGGGTGCTCATATTATTATTAGATAGATACTGGGCCCTTGCTGTGGGCCAGGCATGCGGCTCAGGTATGCATTAGGCAAGACAGTTCTCTCATGGAACTGACTGTTTCAGGGGAAGACAGACAAGTATATTGTTTATATCCAAGTAACAATAGATCAAGGTCAGAGATCTGTATATCAGGGTTGGCTAACCTGTAAAATATTAAAATAATGAAAATAAGCAGATCCATTTATACCAAAAAGAGGCATCCATATCAGGTAGTTTCTGCTGTCTTTCCCTAACTCTATGTCTTCCAATCTGGGGGTTATTATTTCTCACTGTGGGACTTAGACTGTGTGTGTACATGCCATATTTTGGTCTAAGTTTTAGGTAAGATAGCCATCAGAAATGAATTTGTTGCTTTGATTTGTGTCATTTTTGTTTTTTGATATTACTGTTTGTGAGGGGCTGTATTTTATTTGTATGCGTCTCAAGAAAAATCTCTTCATCAGTTTTAAAAACTATTCAGTTTTATTTTTAAATGTTCAGTTTTAAAACTTACTTTATTGCTATCTATATTTAGTTTTTGTATATAAATCAATTTTCAAATGAATGGGATTGATTGATAAATATGCAAGTTTTTATAGCATAGGAAAATAGCCATTGTCATTTTTTTAATGTTTTTTTTAAATTTTGGTATCAATCTACAATTACATGAGCAACATTATGGTTATTAGACTCCTCCCATCATCAAGTCCCCACCACATACCCCATTACAGTCACTGTCCATCAGCGTAGTAAGATGCTATAGAATCACTACTTGTCTTCTCTGTGTTGTACAGCCCTCCCCGTGCCACCTCCCCTCTGACATTATGTCTGCTAATTGTAATGCCCCTTTTTCTCCCTTATCTCTCCCCTCCCACCCATCCTCCCCAGTCCCTTTCCCTTTGGTAATTGTTGGTCCATTCTTGGGTTCTGTGTGTCTGCTGCTGTTTTGTTCCTTCAGTTTTTTTCTTTGTTCTTATTCTCCACAGATGAGTGAAATCATTTGATACTTGTCTTTTTCTGCCTGGCTTATTTCACTGAGCATAATACCCTCTAGCTCCATCCATGTTGTTGCAAATGGTAGGATTTGTTTTCTTCTTATGGCTGAATAATATTCCATTGTGTGTATGTACCACATCATTATTCATTCATCTACTGATGGACACTTAGGTTGCTTCCATTTCTTGGCTATTGTAAACAGTGCTGTGATAAACATAAGAGTGCAAATGTCTTTTTCAAATTGGGTGCCTGCATTCTTAGGGTAAATTCCCAGGAGTGGAATTCCTGGGTCCAATGGTATTTCTATTTTTAGTTTTTTGAGGAACCTCCATACTGCTTTCCACAATGGTTGAACTAATTTACATTCCCACCAGCAATGTAGAAGGGTTCCCCTTTCTCCACATCCTCGCTAACATTTATTGTTGTTTGTCTTTTGGATGGTGACCATCCTAATTGGTGTGAGGTGATATCTCATTGTGGTTTTAATTTGCATTTCTCTGATGATTAGTGATGTGGAGCATCTTTTCATGTGTCTGTTGGCCATCTGAATTGCTTCTTTGGAGAAGCGTCTGTTCATATCCTCTGCCCATTTTTTAATTGGCTTATTTGCTTTTTGTTTGTTGAGGTGTGTGAGCTCTTTATATATTTTGGATGTCAGTCCTTTATTGGAAATGTCATTTATGAATATATTCTCCCATACTGTAGGATGCCTTTTTATTCTGTTGATGATGTCCTTTGTTGTACAGAAGCTTTTCAGCTTGATATAGTCCCACTTGTTCATTTTTGCTTTTGTTTTCCTTGCCTGGAGAGCTATGTTCATGAAGAAGCTGCTCATGTTTATGTCCAAGAGATTTTTGTCTATGCTTTTTTTTTAGAGTTTTATGGTTTTATGACTTAGATTTAGGTCTTTGATCCATTTTGAATTTACTTTTGTGTATGGGGTTAGACAATGATTCAGTTTCATTCTCTTACATGTAGCTGTCCAGTTTTGCCAACACGCCATTGCCATTTATATAGTTTAGATTGATTAGTTGTAGTTTGGTGCCTGCATGAAGTAGAAGGGTGGCAAACTTTATGCCAGAGGCAATTGAATAAGAATGAGCTTTCAGAAAAATTTTTTTAAATTGAAGTATAGTTGACGTACAATATTGCTTTTCTGTAACTGTATTAGTTAGGATAGACTATCCCTTATAACAGAAAGCCCTTAAAACATATAATGGCTCACATACAGTAAAACTACATGGCTTGCTCATATAACAGTAGTTAGCAGGTAAATAGGCTGCACAGTTATTAGGAATCCAGGTATATGGAGCATCTGTCATCTTCAACATGAGGCTTCAGAGATTGCCTTTGGGTTGACTACTTATATTCAGCTGTCAAGGAAATTTGCTTGAAGGAGCTTACATAGGAGGTTGTCATGAACTGGACCTGGAAGTGGTAACATGCACTTACATTCAGTCACACTGTCACAGGGCCACACCTAACTCTCAGGAGGGCAGTGCTGTGTATCCTTGCTGTGGATTCAGGAGAAAGGGGAAATCAAAGAATTACCTGTTTCTACCCTAGAATAGTTAGATTGTCCACTGTAGACAAACCACATAAATGTCTGCTTAGTTGTGATATTTGGCTAATGTTGGGTTGATTCTTTGAGACTTGTCAGGTTTTGGATATGACTGTAGGTCTTCTTATACTAAAGGAGTGGTGATCTGGGTCATCACAAAAGTAAAGGAACTTTCACTGAAGCACCTGTGAGCCCAGACACCGTACTGTGTGCTTTATATACATGATTTCATTTCACCTACACAATAACCCTAGAGGAAAGGTATTCATGCCATGTTTTTCCAGATGAAAAAAATGAGTTTTGATGACTTTACTGAGTTTCCATAATTGGTAGAACTGATTTCTAAATTCTTTAGATTGATCAGGAGACAATGATAAATTTATATGATTTTTGTCTTCTCTTTTGTGCTTATCTTTCAGTTTGACTTTGAAGGATCACTTTCCCCAGTCATTGCACCCAAAAAAGCAAGGCCTTCAGAGACAGGATCTGATGATGTAAGCATTATTTCTTGCTAATAGAAATTAATTTGTGGATAGTTGTACTAGTCTCCCATTTCTGTCATATCCAAGTTGATTTTGTGTGTATGTCTAACACCTTTGGCTTTTTTATTTTAATACTGAATAACAGTTATTTTCAAGAATAGGATCTGTTTCCTATGGTTATATATTCACTTTTGTCTTTAATCGTCTAAAAATTACCAAGCATACATAATGTTGCATGATTTAAGTTTGGATTATGGATGTTTTATTGTCTGTCTTCTAGTGCATTCTCAAACTAGATCTTCTAGTTAAGTCTCAAATATATCTAATTTC